CATGGCAGTATTCGACCTTACATTAGTTGGTTTATGGCGATAGAGCTCGCAATAATTCATTCGTTCCCATTGTACTGTGTACTTATAAGCATATAACCATGACGAATTACCGTAGTAGTGATAACTCGATAAATATTCGAGTCGAACTCACTCGATTTGTGTCAGTATATCGCTGTTCAGCATTCTATTTAGCTTAAAAAAATAGTTTTGATCGCACTTTAATCGTCTTTGAGGTCATTGTTTTGTCACGTTCTGTAGTTGTAAGCTTTTTTTTTACGAATTACCTTGAATATATGCGAAACTAGCTAAATACCGCGGGTTCGCGGGCGGAATTATGTCTCATTTCGTGTTTCTATTCGTTCATCATTTATTTTACCCCCTTACGTGCGAAATTGCCAAAAAATCGTTTGTTAGTGGGTGCTTATAACATAAAGTATGAGCTGCCAAAATTTCAAGTTCTAAGCCCCAGCGGTTTGAGCTCTGCATTGATGAATCAATAATTTTATATGTATATATAGACGAACCCTAATGCGGTAATTACCATTGTGTGTGTAAAAAAGGAATTAGAATTGTGCTTTATGTTATGTATTACAAAATATTAAAAATAAATAAACTGAATCTGCTTTAAAGCTACTTAATTTTATGGTTATTCTATGTCTTAGGGTCAAATTACACAATTCTACACTCAATTCAACTAAACAATCATCGTCAGCCTTTAATAGGCCTCTCCATAGGGAGGAGGTTTTGCCTACTATACCTACTAAACGTTGCGTTGTAGGATTTGTGTCAAGTTTTCCTTCTATTTGCAGTGCTGTTGTCCTGCGTTGTTTGCTCCCTTAGTCCGGTCTTACGACACCCACAGGATGAATAGGAGTGGTGGACACTACGTATTCTTAATCCGGAATAACCACACGAAATACAATGTCAGGCGAATAAAAACACCAATATTTTTTTAATTTCATATTAAAAGTATTAACATTTAACTCTGTAACATTTAATAATGTAGGTCACGTAAAACAATTATGAACAAAGTTTAATGTAAACAATCGTTTTTATAGATATTTTCAAGCACTGTATTCGCAAATGTAATTGCAGATTTTCTGATTAATCGACTTTAAAAAATATACGCGGCACTTTTTTGTATGAAATACTATGGCGCGACGTTATACCTAGCTATTGTCATAATTTACTTTAAGGCCCGTTTTTTAAAAGGTGTCTCAGTCGTGAATCTAGTCTTAAAACTAATTTTAAGTATAAATTTTATTATAGAACGTCATTTAAAACGAGATTCACCGATCCATACTCAAGTGAGTGATAGCTTATTTTAGAACGATGTTTATGTCGAAATCTTTACTGAAGTATAGATTTTATCAGATGTGATCTTTGCTTACGTGAGACAAGCTGTAACATGTCTCAAACAGTGATTTCTAGGGCGTTTGAGGAGAAATGAAAGGAGAAGTAAATGTTTCGTAATTATCCAGAAACAAATTGTAAATGATTTGTTTCTGAATAATTACAAAACATTTACGTAACTTTATTAACGAAAGAATTAGTTGTCATACAAAATCAATTGACTTTAATTTAACCTAATAGATATTCAATTCACTGAAGTTTACATTGTACACATACAATACTTGTTTAAATTAAATCATCACAACCTTTTATCGACTCTTAAGTTTTGATCTGAACTTAAAACTAATTTCATATAATCAAAGTTCAACCGCTACGTGAGACGTCTTTTAAAATACGGGCCTAAATGTTGATTTGTAGATGTAAAAATAATAAAAACGAAAATGAAACTCATGCTGTACTGTAAAATTGAACGATTCAAGTAAAATAATTTATTTTAAACATAGGAATCTACCCGATTGTATCGTTTTAATAATTACTGACTTGTCTTTGTCATGCCCACACAAAATGATCCGTGTAAGGCATTCTGGATTCGCTTACAAACGCGATTTTTGTATGCATGCCTGTAAGAGTCTATGCACAGCGTTGCGGTTGTATGGAAGGTTTTATTAAAAAGTAAAATAAGTTTTATACTAGCTGTCGGCATGCGCTGCAACGCTATGTAAAGTTTAACAGTAAAAACAAAGAAATCTTTGAAATATAGATTTTTCGGGCTACGAACCTCGCAGTACAATCTGATCATTGATTTGACTGCACGGATGGCGTAGTGGTTTAAGCGGTCGCCACCCTACTACGCCGAGTGTTGTGGGCTCAAACCCCATATGGGACGACACTTTGTGTGATCCACAAATTGTTGTTCTGAGTCTGGGTGTTCTTTGTGTCCGTTTCATGTATGTTTGTAAAGTCCCCCGCGACACAGGGTATATTCCTAATGCGGGTGTTGTTTTTTTAAAGAAGATTTCGGCAGAATGATCTACCGTTTTCTTTAAATACACATGCATCAGCTCAAAATCTCAACACCAACACCTATTTTTCACTTAACAAACGATAAATCAAAGCAACTTAATACATTAAAGATTGCTGTTATTTATTATTTACAATCGCTTTCTAGGTTTAACAGAAATAAATACATTAATACTCCTAATTCCTGTTCGGAGTAAGCAGAAATAATATAAAACTCCTGCATCATTCTGTAAAGCCATTTCAAGTTAAACATTATCTTTATACACATTTTGACCTTTGGAATTCTCTTGCGGTCACTTATCTACCTGCGAGATGCTATGACGCAAATTGAACCACTGTATGATATCAACAACATAAAAACTATATATATCTGAGTGCTATTGAAGACATACTACCATTTATTATTTTAGTTAACTCCCTTCCACATTAATAGTTCTTTGTCTATGGTAACTGGAATTTTTAAACAAATCAAGTTTAGTGTCTCATGGTCATAACGGTGTGGTGTGGTGACGGATTAAGAATACAGAGTCTCACCACCGCTATTCATCTCGTGGGTGTCGTAACAGCCGACTAAGGGAGCAAACTACGCAGAACAACAGCATTGCAAAGAGAAAGAAAACTTGACACAAACCCTATACCAACCCGTCTGGTCAGCGTGGTATAGTAGGCCAAAACCTCCTTTCTAAGGAGAGGCTGTGTGTGTTTCTATGTCCAGCAGTGGACTATTAAAGGCTGTTGATGATGATAGTGATAACTAAGTATACTGACAAAGTAAAATATATCTTTATGTTGATATGTAAATCACAGTCGGGTTAGTAACATCATTAAAACTCAAGAACGGTTGGACCGATTTGTAAACCTTTGGTTTGTTGAATTTATCTCCTCTCCAAATAGCAGATTAACTATTAAAACAATACAATACATATTATAGACGAGTTTAAACCTGACTAAAAACAAATAATAGTCGTTATCTCACAATTAATTGTTCTGGATGGGAATAGAAGCCAAGATCTTTCAGTACAGCATTCAATATTACTAACCATTAGATTAACAGGCCCGTCGAACTTAAAATAAATCTATACTAATATTATAAAGCTGAAGAGTTTGTTTGTTTGTTTGAACGCGCTAATCTCAGGAACTACTGGTCCGATTTGAAAAATTCTTTCAGTGTTAGATAGCCCATTTATCGAGGAAGGCTATAGGCTATATATATCATCACGCAAAGACCAATAGGAGCGGAGCACCAATGAAGAATGTTTCAAAAACGGAGAAAATTTATTACTATTGAGAGACGCAGACGAAGTTGCGCGGGTCAGCTAGTAAGATTATATTTATTAAATATTCGTGAATTCTTTTCAATCAGCACTAGAGCCCATGGTTTTGGAAGGCATCCAGAAGTACGAGTAAACCATGATTAATTAGTTTGCTATTTCATAAGTTACACCGTTTTTCTGATCATGTTTTTTATTTTATATGGGGCAAACGGTCACCCGGTTGTTCCCCTGATGGTGAGTGACTATCATTTGTCTATACTAGGCATGGGACAAAATCACAGTGAACTGTGAAAGACCGGTGATTTATCATTCGACTTTTGCTTACGTAGGTTAGGGTTACTACTCACTCACGCGTTATTGTCAATACGCTGTTTTCAGACGATGCATAAAGCCCCTATTTAACAGTAACTCTAGAAATTATTTTAATATACAGCTACCATTCCCTACATAATAATTAAAAATACTAGATTTACTCTTAAATAGCGTCTAACCTACCTACCTAGAAACCCTAAACTACGTACGCAAAAATTGAATGACAATTCAGTTCACTGTGTTTTTGTCCCATGTTAAGTTTATGAATTTATATGTTCGGGGAAATCTCTGTTACTACTGATCCGATTTAGAAAATTCTATCACTGTTAGAAAGGTATATTATCGCTGAGTGCTATTGACTTCTTTTTACCGTGGTAACCGACATATACGCGGGCGGAGTGGCGGGCAAAAACTAGTTACTTTAATGCAGTTAGGTGTGCAAAATGAGACTCCTGAGTTGTCTTTTTTTAAGTGTGGAGTAGTCTTTTTTTAAGTTGTCTTTTTTAATATTGACTGAGTAACATTCGTACATCCTCACAATGTATCCTATTAAAATAATCCTAACTAGTATTTTAAATGCGAAAGTAACTCTGTCTGTTACGCTTTCACGGCTCAATTGCTGAACCGATTTTAATGATACTTGGCATGAAGATACTTTGGTTCTTGAGAAAGGACAAAGACTACTTTTTACCGCGACATTCGACATACACGCGAGCGGGAGCGCGGGCAAATACTAGTAGAATATAAAATATGTTGTAACAATTTAGTCTAGTTATTTTCGTGTACAATGCGTATTGGTGACGTTAGTGAATTACATGACGAAAAACGCGAAACTAAAAAGAAAAATTGGCAAAAGTCCATGCGAATCAATGGTGCATTTTTACATGTTATATTAAAATAGATACAGTAGCAAAATATTTCCGTTATCAGAAAGCTTGGAAGACATCCAAGCAGGTTATTGACATAATTTACATATGGCCGACGGCCAGAGCGGTGTTTAAACGCAAAGGTCATTTCTCACACCTTGTATATACAGCGAAAATGGCAGGTGTATTCCAAGATAGTTCATCAGTAATACAAGAACCTGAACCTGGTATTATTTTATATGACAGCAATTTTTTTGCGCTCCGGCAAGCCTCATTTTATCTACATCCTCCAGAACATCGCACTTGACATAATTTTGTGATGGCACTTTACATATTAAAGCAGCAAATTTCTTCAAAGGAATGTGTTCATATCTTATAAAAAAAAGAAGAATCTTTGTAAATCTTTTCTAGATTGTTTATCATCTTTTACTAACTTATCAAGTTCCCACAGAAATTTCTAAATACCCACAATTACTAAGTTAAACAAAACGTACGTCGTCAACAGACTCAACAGGCGTCGAGTGTAGCGCCCGCTATGGTTCGAATCACATGCATTCATGTAATTTGATTCTATTAAGAAAAGTACAGATAATCTGACGCTGCTCCTACGGTCATATTGTTTATAATCATCTTTTTTAACAAGTTTATGCTATTTTTAGCTAAGTACCATTAAAAACCAGCTAGTAGTCTGGATCTAGAAGTACTGTATCCATCCAGGATGGATGCTGATTTTGGGAGTTTGCTCGTAAGCAAATTTACTGAGTAGTACAGCGTTCTTCAAAACAATAATATTTATTACGTTTGGAATATAAAAACTTGAACTGTATTATGCAGAATATGGCTCGGTTCCACCGGTGTGATGCCACGCCCTCACATAAAACCGGTGTTAATCAATTCTTTCACGTCCAATATACCATTAAAAAACTGGTAAAATTATTAAAGTCGATGTACTGTCCAAGATTATTTATGTAGTTGAGATGAAAAAGATTTGTAATCATTATAAGAAAATATTCTAGAATGATTAAGTATAAATAAAGATCATTAGGTCGCGTCTTTACTGCAGCCCGATTTGCCCTAAGGACGTCAGAAGTATTGTTTCGATTTGAAAAAAGGTGGAGGCACAGAATTCGAGTATATTTATTTTTCATGTTTGTTACCCCAAACGTCACGTATGAACCTATTTGGAGAATTCTTTTTTTATTTAGGTATGCTTCCCGTTTGATCCAATTCAAATTTGAAGAAAAAAGCCACCCAAGCTTCTATACCTTCTCACCCTAAGGTAAAAAGGTTGAGAAGCTAGTTGAAGTACGGGTCCGTCCCCAAAATTAAGGAATGATGAATACAATTTATATTAATCACGATATAGGAACGTCGTCTTCAGAAGGCCTTAAGTATCAAATCATAGCATTCATAATAATATAAACACGATAATTTTAAACTACAAGGTGCATTAAAATTCATCATCACATCAACAGCCTTTAGTAAGGATAGTAGGATAGGATAGTATAGTAGGCTAAAACCTTAGAAAGGAGGTTTTGGTCTACTATACCACGCTGACCAACCCGGTTGGTATAAGGTTTGTATCAAGTTTTCCTTCTCTTTGCAGTGCTGTAGTCCTGCATAGTTTGCTCCCCTAGTCGGCTCTTACGTCACCCACGGAATGAATAGGGTTTGACAATCCGTCACCACACGGATGTGATGGACCACAAGGACTTTAAAAAATTATTAAAAGTAAAAGTTGATATAAAGAATCTGTCATCGAATATTCATTTCGTAATTTAAACATGACATTTAGTAATTTTATCTTACTCTAGATAATGCATAGACAAAATGAGTAGCATTGCCACAACTTACTGTTGTTGCACAGATACAATGCAAAGAATAGACTAAAAAAAGGTCATTGCTCTCAGTCTCACAGTACGACTCTTATTCATATTTTTTACTACGAAAATTTCAGCATTAAAAATAAAAACACCTAAATATGTCTGTATTTTTTTCTATCGGAGGTATTTTCAGTTGAGTGGCTGATTTTCTATGGTTACCATAGCCTAAATGTTTAAAACACTGTATTTATTATAAATATAAATCTATATGTACGGGAATTAACAAGCTCACAAGGATGAGTCAAAATGTGACCACGGTCAGTGCAACCTGGTCAAAATTTCAGGCATGGCAGGCAGATAATGTCATTGTGATAACATAATTGTTTTAATTCCCATAAATATACAAAATTAGATATCTTGAAACGCAAAAGTTTAAAAATTAATAGGTACTAATCTGCTAAAGATTTTTTTTTAAGTTTATAGAGTATCATAAAGTTTATGGTTATTAAATTTTGTAGGTGTAGAAAAAGTTCTAGAACGATCAGCATTGTAAGGATTTTTTTTAAATATCTGAACTTTTTTAACGTTGCAGGCAGTGAGGTGGTAGGCAAGCTGAGTTTGCGTGTCAATTATAAAGACATACAAAGTAAGTGTGTGTTGAATGTCTGTGTATCTCTGTTTAATTTTCTGGTCAAGAGTATTTAACATCTTTCGTTTTTAGCTTTTTATTTTTTACTCTTCAGTCCATTCAAATTAAGAATATAGTGACGTAAAAATATATTACGTTACGCAATTGTTTCATGTATAATAATGAACAATAATTCTCGTCGTGGTAAGCGTTGCGTTGTTCAGCAAAACGAAAATTTGTATTCTGCAATGCAGCGTCGCTATTTAATCCATAGTAGCCATATGGCTGCTATGGATTAAATATATTTGTAAATGAGAGTTATTTTTTTTAAACAATGTATACTTTTTAATCATCTTAGCGGCCAGGCATAGCTAGCGTTCTTAATTTGAATGGGATAATAAATGGCTGATTGTTGAGAACGAACTAATAAAAAAAAAACGATGTATATTGTTAGCATGTTAACTTCACTGTGTCTATTGTGTAGGTATGTATCGTATATATCATGGAGAGTGCTCCGAGGTATTGTTCGGACTAATACCAGCCGCAACCGCCATCGTTCCACACGGCAAAGTTTTCATCCTCATTACCTGGATAGTTGGCGCTCCACTACTGTGCGATTTTCGAGACACTTTTTGCCCCGCACAACCAATCTGTGCAAAGGGTTATCGTCTGCCTTACTACTATCCGGACCGATACTACCTTCAAACCTTCAAGAAAAGAGCGTACTCCTTCCTAAAAGGCCGGCAACGCGTTTGTGACTCCTGAATTGCAGACGTTCATGGGCCCCGATGGTCACTTTCCATCAGGTGACCCGTCTGCGCCTTATTAGTAGTTCTTTATCTTATATTCTCAGTTTAAATTAAGTTTTGGATGTTGAAAACCTTTGTCCACGATATTGTTTATGGTTTTTACTTGTTACTTAGTCTTTTATTCGCACTGTTACTAATATTAAAAAATCCCTGTTTAAAAAAACGGGGTCTATGTTTTTACAGCTTATTATTGCACAGTTGTGCACACACACGAAACTAACTGTTAATAACAATAAACGTAATATAATTAGACAGCCTAGTTTCAAGCACTCTTGAGATTAACAAAAAAAAAACATTTTTTTATAAATAAGTTGTAACTGAGCACTCCTGTTGAGTTTCTGCAGCTAAAAAGCATAGTATTGAAAAAAATATTTTATAATATTTTTTTGGTATTCTGCTGCCTTGTAAGCTTACAGGAAAGTACAGGATATATTAATAATAAAAATATACTCGTATAATAAGTTTCAATAACAGCTTCGCTTAGAGACATTCCACTGTTTTAGTTTCCTTTGTATACAAAATTAAAAACATAGTTAAGCTGTCCGTGTAGTGACCTATTAAGAATACGGATTGTCACTACCCCTATTCATCCCGTGGGTGTCGTAAGAGACGACTAAGGGCGCAAAACAACGCAAGACACCAGCACGGCAAAAAGAAAGAAATCTTGACACAAACCCTATACCAACCCGCCTGGCCAGCGTGGTATAGTAGGCCAAAACCTTTCTAAGGAGAGGCCTATGTCCAGCAGTGTACTATTAAAGGCTGTTGATGAGATGTGATGTGGCAAAGGAAGCAGATTTAAAACCGCCTATACTGTCTCATACTTCTTTGAGGTCTGGCGTTCATACTTAGCTGAAAAACAGTGCTATGTCTATGGTCCACATTGAACAAGAAATTGCTATATTGAACTCCGTATAACTATATTGAACGGATTTTAAACGGAAACTTACCCTATATTTAGTAGGTTAGAAATAATTTGTAGCATCGTCGTATGTGATTCAGACGCCTGAATCCTGAAGTTCTGCATAATAAAGAAATAAAAAAAGACACTAACATTTAGTATAAATGTCTAGTAAATAAATATTCGGTACAGATAAACGTTGTATATATTCGATATCTGAAAAATATATTACTTTTTGATATTCCTTATGGATTCGCTATGTCGCTAATAAAAAATATGAAATCACAAGGACTAAATAGTTCAATCTAAGTGGCGTGCAATGGGAGAGGCCTATGTCCAGCAGTGGACTGCGATAGGCTGATGATGATGATGACGATACCACAAAATCGAGGATCGAGGCTACATTTTTTTTAAATTTACTACTAAATATATGAGATAATAATATGAGAAATGGCTCCTCAATCCAAACGGGCATAAAAATCTAGTCTCTTATTGCCTCAATTAAATATTATTAATTATACAATTGTACAGTAAGGAAATGAAAATTATATAAGGATCGGTCACGGTTTACGATTACAGATTTAAAAAAAAAACAAAACCAGCTCAAGACATCTTGTTAGTATAATTATATTTCGAAGCTAAATACCGATTATGATATGTTCACGTCCATCATCGATTGCACGGTTAACCGCCATTGCATGCGGTCACATCTCCAGTGTTTGTTGAACGGAAGAGTCTGCTCATTTTACTACTGGTAAAGCTACGACATCAGGGCCTCAATTCTGCTATTTTATGTTCACGCAAAGCCACTGTCATACCACTGACACGCTATTGAAGATGCCATCGAGTGGCCTCTCGATGGCCTAAACATAAAATAGCAGAATTGAGGCCCAGGTGTCATAAGAAGCCGTAACAACTCATAACGGTTTAATTTTATTATTTTCTATAATAAAAAAAGTTTTATCAACAGTCGATTTGTCAATCCAAAGGCTGTCTGTAAGGATTGCGTTACAGCGATAAGGCTGCCATTTGTACATAGTCATTAGTTTAATTTACTCTTGTATGT